TTCTCTCCACACCCCCAGACCTCTGTAAACCCCCTCCTCTCTCAAGACCCCATCCTGATTCCCATTGCTGCTTCCAGTTCACAGTGAACTACTTCCTCATGAAGGAGCTAACTGATAATTCAAGCACTGGCTGGTGAAGGGTTACAGTGTATCTATAAAAGGGAAGAGTGCACCTGGGGCATGATGGTGTGACACACTTCCCATTGCTGCTTCCAGTTCACAGTGAACTACTTCCTCATGAAGGAGCTAACTGATAATTAAAGCACTGGCTGGTGAAGGGTTACAGTGTATCTATAAAAGGGAAGAGTGCACCTGGGACATGATGGTGTGACACATACAGTGAACTACTTCCTCATGAAGGAGCTAACTGATAATTAAAGCACTGGCTGGTGAAGGGTTACAGTGTATCTATAAAAGGGAAGAGTGCACCTGGGACATGATGGTGTGACACATGCATGGGACCTTCACTTTTCTACCTGTTCACAAATTCTCATTAAAATACTCAAGAGAATAAACAAATATGGAAAAATCTGCTGCAGCAGCAGTGCTAGAAACCAAGAATGGGTATTGCCTCGTTGCTAGAAACTGGAGGAATTTTTGCCAAATCTTAATGTAAGAACTGGATTGAAGTAAGCCATTAAGAACTGAGGCTTATTTGTCTGGGATGTAGCAGAAAAGGGCTCTGAAAAGCAAGGGCTGTTCCTCCCTGGGAGGTGGGGGAAAGGGAGTAGAGAAGGGCCTTTTGGGAAGACCACCCCTTGGGCCTTGTGGCTAACATTACTGATTAGTAACCTCTTTGCCAACCTCTTTCTTCCTTGCTTCCTCCACTGTGTGGACTGAAAAAGCTAACCTCTTGCTTTACCAGCCTCCCGTATAGCTAAGGTTACCCACACAACACCATTCTGAACACTGAGAAACCTCCAAGAAAGCTTTTGCTTTCCTGAAAAAAGTGATAAGCATAGCTGGCATCACCCCTTTTACCTTTTTCCTTCCTTGAATGTATGTGATGTTTGGAGCTGTGGCAGCCATAATGTGACCAGGAGGGAAGACTAAGAGAATATATTTACTATACTAGGAAAATATAGCTCTTCCCATGCAAGACTGTAAATTCAGGGGGAAAGGACCTATGAAGAGAGTTTTTAGTTCACAAGAAGAGGACCCCAGTTGAAGATTTGAAGAAGTTGCCTTCCTCTGAAGTAGAATAGAACTTTTTAGAAGAATTCTGATTTGTCTTATCCATAGGATTCAAGGGTATTGCCTGTCTTCAACTAAAGCAAACCACCATGAAAAGGACATAATCTTAGGTAATGAAATATTGAATAAGGATGAAAAATATTGTGTTAAATTGAAAACCCAAATAGAAGCATTGAATAGGCAATTGGACACTGCAAAATATTTAATTAGTGAATTAATTTAAGGAAACAGAAAACAGATAAAAATGAGATACTTGATAAGAAAATATGGAAAATAGATCTAGTGATACAATTTAGAGCTAATAGGAGACTCTGAAAGAGAACAAAGTAATTTGGGGCAGAAGTAATCATCGGGAAACTATTAGAGGAAAGCCTTCCTGATCCCAAACAAGACTTTCATCTGAAAATTGAAAATTGAGTGAATCATGATGTGGCCCTGCCTACATCTCCTCTCTCCACCCTGGCCCTCCACCACTGTCCCCCTTGCATCCTGAGCCTCAGTCACACGACTTCTGCTTCCTCTGGTGTTTAAATCCTCAGCACCTAGGACACTAGTGATATCTGGGTACACTCCCATCTACACACAGACACAATAATGCAGGATGAAGTACAGCTTGAAATCTGACTTCCACGTTGGAACTAAGCAGCAAGCACTTGATTTGTTGAAATGGGAGTGGAAACGGAATGATTGTGGGGTACAGGAACTGGGTGGCTGGGCAGCGCTGGCATTTCTCTTTCCTATGTCTGTCTCACTCCCCTTTTCCCCCTAGCTTTCTTGATCTTCCTTTCTCTTCCTTGACCTTTTCCCTTCTATTTTCTCTCTCATGTTTTTTTCTCTTGAACTGACCATAATATGAAACTAAAAAATATAGCTTATTGTATTTTAAGTTTAGGAAGTAAATTCTTTTTTTAAATTTATTTTTCAAAATCTAAAAGTGACTGAGGTTTGTCAGTTTCTGTGTGCCTCTGAATTGATTTTCCCCTCTGGCTCAGAGGTCATTGGTAGAAGAACGATTCTCCCTGGTGGACTTGCACTGTGTATTCCCAGGAGAGTAGGACAGCTGAGTAAATTTGGAAAAGCGTGTGAGAGGAGCTATGGTGGCAGGGGGCAGGGGGGGTGTTGTTGCAGCCAGAGGGGTTCCTTCGTGCCATTGAGCTTCCAGACTGGACTGTGATGGGAGCAGTTCATGAAAGCAAAAGCACAGATACCCCCAAGGGCAGCTAGGCGGTGCTAGAAAGCTGGGTGAAATGGATGACATTACTAAAGAGACAAGTGGACCAAGAAACATTCTCCACAGCACTCAGGAAATGCCTAAGTGTTTATGCCAAGCACTGAGGTCATCACTAGTAATCAGCCAACCTCTGCTTTTGTGACCTGAATGTGACCCATCCCCCCATCCCCTTGCTCCCTCTGAGAGGCAACAGATCCTGAGGTAGGAAATTGTTTTCTCCTCTAACCCTCAAAGTGTTTCATTTGTTCCTCCGTGAATATGCTTTGGACTTTCTACTCTGCCTTATTGGTATATCTGTATATGTCCCAGCGCCCCCACTAGGCCAGAGAGCTTTTTAAAGGAAAGCTTCCTTCATTGGTTCAGGTATCCAACTATCCATTTATTAACTGCTGGGGACATTCAGTGAAACACATGGCCCCTCTTCTAGACCTAGAGGGGAGCAGACCTGAAAGGAATTAGATTGCATGCCTTCGAGGAAGGTATGTTACACGAGGCCAAGGGAGGCATGCCCTGGCATGTCTGGGAACTCGGTGGCACCTTCCCAGAGAATGGGGTGTTTGAGATCAGCCTTGAAGGAATAGTAAGAGTTGGCTGAGCAGATGTATTACAGTAACCAGAGGCAGAGAGGTATGAGAGAGAGTAGGGTATGTTTGGAGCACTGCAGTCTTTACTATTTTTGAAGCACAAATGGAAATAAAGGGAGAGTGGCAAGAGGTAAGAGAAGCATGTGTGGTGAGCTTCTGAAAGCCCTAGTGGACCCTTTTAAAGACTTGACATTGAATCCCACTGTATTAGATTCCTATTGCTGTAACAAATTACCATAAACTTAGTGGCTTAAAACAATGCAAATGTATTATCTTACAGTTCTGGAGGTCAGAAATCTGAAATGTGTCTTATCTGGCTAAAATCAAGGTATCAGTAAGTCTGTATTCCTCCTGGAGACTCCAGGGGAGAATTTATTTCCTTGTCTTTTCTAGCTTCTAAAGGCCACTGCATTCATTTTCTCATCATCCCTTCCTCCCCCTTCTGAGCCAGCAGTACGGCATATTCAAATCTCACTCTCTCATTTTCTCTCTCTCTGACCTGTTTCCATTATCACATCTCCTCCTCTGATTCTGACCTTCCTGATTCCCTCTTATAAAGAACCTTCTGGTTACGTTGGACTCACCGGGGTAATCCAGAATAATACCCCCATCTCAAAATCCTTAATTTAATAACATTTGCAACTTTCCTTTTGCCATGTAGGGTAAGATTCACAGGTTCCAGGGATTAGGAGGTGAATGAACATCTTTGAGGGGCCATTATTCAGCCTATCACATCCACAGAGCCTAGAGACTAAGAAAACAAGAATGTGCCTGTCCTTCTGGAGGAAGGGCACAGGAGAGGGCCTGTCATTACGACCTGAGGAGCATTTATAGCTGTATTCAAGAAACACTGGGGGTCCAGCTTGAAGGACCAGGATCTTCACAAGGAATTAAGGTGGTGGCCGGGGCAGAGGGATGTTAGTCAAGGGACACCTTGGCTCCATCTGGCCAGCTTAGAGAGAGACAGACCAAAAGCCCTGAAAGTGCCCTTATGCCAGTGTTAAGCTGTTCCTCTGGCAGCCCTGCAGAGGGGCTCAGAGTGGGGGTGGAGAATAACCCTAGGAGGTCTGCTCCATCCAGCCAGGTCTAGACAGTGACCTTGTGGTGTCGGCTGCAGCAGCTCCTGAAGCAGCACTATGTAGGGAATACATCTTGGGGGGACGGCGAGGGCATCCAAAGGGGAGGGTCTGGCCTGACTCAGCATGGGTCACACAGACTCCTGACACTGTGAAGGACTCATGCTGAGTCAACAGAGGACCCAGGAGGACTTGGAAAAGAATGTGGTATTGAAGTTGGTGCAGGATTTAGAATCCCAAGATTTATGAAATTTGGGTTACACGCTATAGTCAGAGCTGAATAAATGTTTGATGAGTGAGCAAAGAAATCCCAGGTTCCCTTTGACGCATCCCATAGACACCTCAGCATGATTTCTAGAACTAAGGTGCCAGAGTCCTCTGCTGTGTCACTAGAACACTTAGTTATGGAGATTCCTTAGGGAAAAAGAGAAGCCTCCACCAAAGTGGCCTCCCCTGACATTCACATCCCTGGCACTGACCAGGTAGAGACAGTGTCCCAGTGGCTCAGGAGCAGCCCCCTGTTTGTGAATGGTCTATGTTCAGCTTCACCCCTGTTAAACTGAACCAGCCCAGGATGCCACAGACTGTTTCTCAAGACGACTTTCTCCTGAAGAACTTTCCCCAGGACATCCTCTCTTCATCAGCTGTGTGAGAACATCGCGCTCACACAGCTCATCATGTGAGGACGTGAGCTGTGTGAGGACATGGTGTGGTGGGGCATCATGCCCTGGTTACAGCTGTGGCTCTACTGCTGCCTAGCTGCACAAGCCTAGACAGTCCCACGCTGCCTTGGATTGAGTGTCCCCCCAGAACTGAACACTAACAGTTTAAGAGGGTGGGAAATCCTATTATGGGAATTGAAAGGCGGGGCCTTGAAGAGGTGATTAAATTGCAGGACCATGGAGTAGTGAATGGATTAAAAATGGTGGTCAGGGCGTGGTTCTGAGGGCTTTAACAGGAGAGTGAGTGAGGCGCTCTCTCTGCTCCACCATTTTCGCAATGTGATGCTCTGCCATCACCATTGCCACCCCCAAGGCTCTCACCAGAGAGATGTGTTTCCTGGACTTTGGACTTCCCAGCCCCAGAAACTGTAATCAATACATTTCCTTTTTTTAATAAATCACCCAGTTCCAAGTATTTTGTTATAAGCAACAGAAACAGACTAATACACATGCCCTCTGAGTCTTTCCTCACTTGTCAAGGGAAAAAGATGATCAGATCTCAGACTCAGCATCATTTTCATTAATATTTGAGGTTTTCTATCTGTCTGAGCCTTGGTGATTGATCTGGGTTAGAAGTTCACCAACAAAGAACTGGGCTTTCAGTAGCGGTAAGCACACCATCATTGAACAAGAGAAAAATAGAACAGCTGCACACAACTAGAAACGGTTGCGTTTGAAACATACAGTGTGTTGATTGCTCAACCCGGTGATAGCTCCTAGACTCTGGCTTTAGAACATGGCTTTAGAAGTACAGTTTGACCCCGATTTTCTTTGATCAGTTTGGCAGTGGGTAGGTAGATGGGCTAAGGTTGTTGATATTTTATCTGCCTGTCGTCTTCTTCCACTGGCGCTTTTAAAACTACATAACCTTAACATTCTCTACGCCTTCAGTCGTTATTGTCTATGAGCCCTCCAGGGTAAAAGGCATTTTGAGGAGAGAATAGCTTGTGCACATGTATATCTGTGGCAGTGTCATTGCTCGGTGTTTATGAGAAAGAGTGAGAGAATGCGTTTCTGGGTGTGTAATTAAATAAATAACATGTGTTCTTTTATCTAACAGCTGAAGCAATGGAAGGCATTTGAAGAGGAAAACCAAACAATCAGACACATGGCCAAATATTTCAGCACTCCCAGCAAAAGCTTCCATACCCAGTATGGTGAGGAACAGAACTGCCACCCGAGAGGAGAGAAAAGCTCCATGGAGAGGCTCCTCACAGAAGTAAGCTATACCCCTGCCTGGCTGATTCCCTGTAAAGAAGAACACCAACCTTGCATTGGTGAACCCCAGATGCTCTCATTGCTAACATTCTCTTTCCCTCCCATTCTCCCACTTCCCTAACAGCAAGCAAAACCTCAGCATTTGCCCAGTGACCCTCATCCACTTCCTTCACTCAGTGAACACATGTGTATTGAGTCACTCCCGTGCGCCAGGCGTTAAGTGCAGGTGAACAGAACACATGTAGTTCCTACCCTCATGGAGCTCACAGTCTAGTGAAGGAAGCGGATACTGGCCAAGTAAACATATAAGTATAAACCGTGGTAAGAATTATTAAGGAAAAAATCAGGGTGCTGAGACAGAATATTGGATGGTGAGGACAAGGGAACCTAATTTAGAGGAGTCAGAAAAGACTTTGAGCTGAAAGTTAAGTACACATTGGCCAGGCAAAGAGTACAGGGAAAAGCATCCCAAGCAGAGGGAACAGCTTCGTAAAGGCCCTGAGTTGGAGTGGACATTAGCTTCTGTGTGATACATTCTTTCTTTACATAAAGTAGTCCCTCATGTCTGAGATCTTAAGGGGCCCTTTCTGACTTTTCCAGCAAAGAGTACAGGGAAAAGCATCCCAAGCAGAGGGAACAGCTTCGTAAAGGCCCTGAGTTGGGGTGGACATTAGCTTCTGTGTGATACATTCTTTCTTTACATAAAGTAGTCCCTCATGTCTGAGATCTTAAGGGGCCCTTTCTGACTTTTCCAGGTACTAACTAGAGATCTCAATCAGCCTAGAAAGTCCAGACATGTCTATACATGGGGAAGAGGGCTGAACAAGCGCCTCTGAATGTCATTGTAGCACCAACAGGGAACCAGGCAGCCTCCAGCCCTTCTTTCTTCTGTAATTCAGCCAGAGCTGGCCCCTGTCCCAGACTAGGGCAGGGTGATGCAGGCTTGAAGGAAGCACATGGCAAAGCTTGAGGCTGCACTACGTTGGGAAGAAGGCACAGGGCCTGGGGAATTACTCAGTATTTTGACACTAACTAAATTACATTCCATGTTTCTTCAGTACACAACATACCTGAGTAGGTTCCAGCCCTTCTTTCTTCTGTAATTCAGCCAGAGCTGGCCCCTGTCCCAGACTAGGGCAGGGAGATGCAGGCTTGAAGGAAGCACATGGCAAAGCTTGAGCCTGCACTACGTTGGGAAGAAGGCACAGGGCCCTGGGGAATTACTCAGTATTTTGACACTAACTAAATTACATTCCATGTTTCTTCAGTACACAACATACCTGAGTAGGCGCTATCTAGGAAACTGTGCATTTTTGTAATGGGACTGCCACTGGGGTGTTTATAGTCCCTGGTGAGAGGATGGTGTGGTGGAGACCTAAGAAACTCAACCAGTGAAGGGATTAAGCCTGCCCGGGTCCCGCTGCTCATGCCCTTCTATCTCCCATGCTGTAGCCTCAGCTCTGGACCCTTTTTGTACATTAGAGTAATACCTCTCCATTTCTTTTTTTTTTTTCTTGTCCTTTTTTTGAGACTGGCCACACTGTGCTCAGCCAGTGAGCGCTGTGAGTGCACCAGTCATCCCTATATAGGATCCGAACCCGTGGCGGGAGCGCTGCTGCGCTTCCAGCGCCGCACTCTCCCAAGTGCACCACGGGCTCGGCCCTCCATTTCTTTACTATTTTTGAAACATTCAGGACATTATTTCAAAGCCAGACTTCTTTCCACCTGGCAGGGGAGTAGCATTGCCTTTGATACTCTGGGAAGTCTTCAAAGAAGCATTTCTTCAGCTAAACGGAAGGCTAGTAACTTGGCTAGAACAGCCAGGATAGTTTTCTTTTTTTTTTTTTGTCTTTTTGTCTTTTTTTCGTGCCCAGCAACGGATCGCAACCCTCAGTGTCGCGCCCATACCGGACCGGGACCG